TCCTCCTCCTCTAACCCCTCCTCTCAGCGGACTGACTGCTGCAACACACCCTTTTACCCCTTGTCAAACACCCCCTCCCCTCTCCCCTCAAACTCCTCCTCAATCTTCCTAGCTGTTGAGGGCAAAAATGTCAGAAAGGTGAAGAAACACGAGGGGGCAAGAAAAAAGAAGCGAAAAAAGAATAGAGAGGAAATCGTCTGTGGCTTACAGAACTAGGACGATACAAATCAACTATGCTCGTCACGCTTGTTTTGAGCAACAAGAGAGAACGGGGAAAAAGAAAGAAACATAGAGACGAGAGGATACAGAGCTTTCTACAAAAATGGGTCATGCACTGACATGCACAGGTTTGAAAGCAAGGGATTCACCATGACATAATCATGGCCCAGGTACTATCACAAGCACATTGAAGCCCCTGGCAACCAACCACGCACATGCACACACAAAAAAAGAGACGCACAGCCGCAGCAGCATTCAGCTGCACAGGTGCAAAGCTGTAGAGTCACACGGGAGGTCATGGAGGAGACATAGATAATACAGGAGCGAACCAATCAATCAATCAATGAAGCAGTACTCATACTACACAACAAAGTTACGACGATGATGGCCACTGTCAGGTGCCTGTATGCAGAGAGCATGCAAGCCCGCAAACGCGCCCACCAGCCAGTTTAGCCCTGGTGAGTGCACACCATATATTATTTCATCAAATGCCACTTTCCTCGTAGTAGTCCCACTCCACTCGCTACTCATGCATCATTTCCAAGACCATAGACATTCCAGTGTCAATGAATACCCAGGGAAAAAAAAGTATGTCTCAGCCATCGAACTTCAAGCTTCCTAGGTTGCTTGCACAACCAGTCAGCCAGCCCTTCTCTACTGCCCATCATCAACACCCAATATGGCTCTGAGTCTTATCCCAAAACATCCATATACCGTAAAACACTCTACCCAGACAGAGTACTGAACTACATAACAGACAAGAAAGGAAAAAAAGACAAGAATCTAGCCACAGAGAAGAAAAAGAAGGCTTCCACAACTTTCCATTATAGAGACATTGAGACATGCAATGAACAAGAAAGTGGGCCGTTGGCAAACGCCTACTCCTCCCCTCTTACCCAATTACTTGCTTGTCACAGATAGCAACCCTCCTCCCGCCCCTTCCCCATCAACTCCGCGTACCTCCATGTTCATCCACTTCCACCTTGGCCCCCACCTTCACTCCAAAGCAGAAGTAAACCTCCCGCCGTCGTATCCACATTCTCACCACAAAGAAATTGCAGTCTTAAGAATATAATAATATATACAAACAGTCAGCAGACGCGCTTCGTGCCAGATGAAGAGAAAAACGACTGCACCTATACATCACAGTAACACAAAGAGCGAAATTCGCTCCTAGCTGTACCCATCACAACACCCCTAGAGACAAGCCCGCACACTCGCCAACAAGCTCGCACAGTTGCCAGGGAAAACTGAACCTACGGCATTTCGACTACTTAACCTGTGCAAAGGGTACCTGCGTCCAGCAAAGATCTGCCCAAACCACAGCCAACTTGATTCTGTCTACTTCTTCAACTTGAAGTAGATGATCAACACGATGGCCAGCAAAAGAATCCCAATAATTGCAAACATAGCCACTTTGTTCCTGTTCATTCTCCTTGCCATGCTGTTGAGGATCTGTCTGCTCCTGCCAATGTTGTCATCAACCTCATGCAACTGCAGCAGTATTTCCACACCAGCACAAACATCACCACCATCCCAAAGCCACTAAAATGTTACCTTACCATTCAACTCACACATTCTTTCAGCTTTTTCCCTTCCCTCAAATCTCTCCCATGCAGAACAAGATCATGTCAACTGCCTACAAGCCAACATCATCCATAGCGAAACCCACTCAAATTTCCATTACTGTGCACCTCATACATCACTGTTCCTCCCATTCCCTTGGCCTTCTCCCAAGCAGATCCAAACAGGGACAACCTTGACAAACCACAAACACGAATCTACACCAATCTCCCCATACGTTACAGAGGTCGACAACTATATACACTCACACTAGAGTACGCCTTTTTCTTTTTTTTTCTGACTTCAATGATGACAGATTCAGCCGGGGAAAACAGGATGGTAAGGATCGTGTTGTTTGGGGAATCCCCCTTCCAAATGCAGCCCTCTGACATAGGTGGTACCGTCTTTCCGCCAAATGGAACATGCCTTGCCATGGAGACATCATATTTGCATCCTGTCAGAAATTTGACCAGGTACGTAATTGTATCCTCTCCGAAATTAGACCAGATATGCAAAAAGGATAACGAGTTCTGTTCAACAGGCGATAGTAGCATGTATTTTCCACACTCAATGACATCTTTAGATTCTTTACCCATCATTGCGTTGCAGCTACCCGAATGCTTTTCACCACAAACAAGTATCCAGAATACACAGTTTTTTTAATTTTAAATTGGACCATTTCTCAGTTTATGTGTGTCATCCTTGTGCAGGGGCCATGCTAATCTTCTCTGCATCGTTCCAATTTTTATGGATGTCACATTGAGTTGGCACTTTTTTTTTCTCAATTAAGGGCCATTTCTTAATTTGTATGTGTATGGACTTATGCAAGGAATATGAGTGAGAACGATATACAGAAAGTGTTACGGACTCCACCAGGGCTCTATCCCTCGTCTATCTTTTTGCTGTTTCGGCTGCATCCCGTTTTCGGCCTGGCACCCTTTTTTCCAAACGCCTCCTTTTGGTACCGTAGGATTTTGGACAACTGGCGCCATGCTGCAATTCGGGCGCCACTTTCAAATACCGCATTTTTCAGTTCTGCCCTTGGGGCCTTTACAGAAATGCCCCTGGTACCGTACGTGTCACCGGTACTTGTACCGGCTCCCCGTACGGTACGGGGACCAGTCTCGTACCAGTTTTCTGCTGCTGTACTCGTACTCAGTGTGACTTGCTGTTTCGGCAATCGGAATCCAAGACTTCGACTTTGTGCCTTGCCACTGTATCTGCGTCCGACCCTCAGTCCGAGTCAGTCGTGTTGAGTGAGTGAGTGTGTGTGTGTGCTCTCACTCTCTCCCTCTCTCTCTCCTCTCCCTCGGCTCACCCTCAGCCTCACGCCCGTCACAGAAAGCCAAGTTGCGAAATCACACAGATGTCCAAGTAGTCGTGCTCCAATGTCGCTCCTCTATGTCGGGCGCCCAGCGCCCAGTCTACACTACTTGCCTATCCTACTACATCCGCATTCACACAACAGGCTCACTTCGACTTTGAAGACCAATGTACATGACGTCAACACCATAGGCAACCTCCCTCATGCACCAGGTGCGTATCTCATCTCCCCTCATCAGACCCTGACCACCCACACTCGCCTCCTTCCTGAAGACCACAGATCGCCCCTTACCCCCTAGTGCCTTGCAGCCCGGCTATGGCTGCCTGCGCTCTGCTGCCCAGCAGCGCCCCTGTTGCATACTGTAACGTTGCAGACCAGAACAAGAACCGACCTCTCAATACAAAGTATAAGATAGCACAGCGGAAGACTTAGATACCAATGATCTGACAATCAATATTGCAATGCAGCTCTGAACATACATCATCATCATCGTTACACGGTGTGAATGGGGCCTGGCGCTTCACACAGGAAGACTGCGCCAGCTCCTACCATACACAGACGAAGAAGAAGGGGGTTAGACGAAGAGGAGGGGAAGATGGGAATGTCGTCAACACCAAGTCTTCGGCACAGGCCCAAATAGTCCCTCGTCGAAATGTCTGAATCCCAAATGTCAAGTCTGGATCCAATGTCGTCAAGTCTCAAGTCACAACTCTGTCTCTCTCTCTCATAGTCTGAGAAGTCAGGTGGCGAGAGGGTGAGAAGAGATGGTGGACTTAGAAGAGGAAGAAGAAGCACTCTCTCTCTCTCTGTGTCCAGTACTAACCTGTGAAGTTGGCGCCTTGATGCAGGTACCTCGAAGATGGAGCTGGAGCGATGGCGCCACAGGTAAGTACCACTGGCCTCTGCCAGTATCTCTCCCACTCTGCGATCTACCACCTACCAGCGCCCAGCGCTGAAGACTACTGCTATGGCTATGGGCGCCTAGCGCCGAAGACTACAGCCAACGCTGAAGACTACTGCAGCGCTCCTCCTGAGTGCTGCGGCCGAATCCTGAAGACTACTCGTGCTTACTGACAACTACCTACCCGTGAAGTGCATGGGAACTTCCTATGTACTACCGGGTGTGCCTCCTGACTCGTGCGAGCAGTCCAGGAGGCTGCTCTTGCCAATGCCGAAGAGAGGCAGGGGCTGCAGCTGCAGCTCCTGCTCAAGCTCATTAACAGGCTATTTCTGGCCTGTTCCGAAACCCTGTACTCGTGCCTGAGTCTTAGGGGTGGTCGAAACAATGAGGGCCTGAAAAAGGCCCTCTGTTTCAGGCTGAAAAAACTCTGGGCCTGCAAGGCCCAGAAATAGGCTGAAACGGAGTAGGGCCTGCAGACCCTCGTATTTCAGCTTTCAGGCTGGACGACGGGGGCCTGTAAGCCCTAAGTTTTAGGCTTTTAGGCTGAAAGTGCGGGACGGGCCCTGCAGGGCCCGTGTGGCTACGCACTATGCCACAGCCCCTCTCACCTCACAAGCGCCCGCACACACCCTGGCCGCTAACGCAGCACGCAGCCTCTCGTGCAGCAACGCAGCAGCGTGACCGCAATGTCTGTGTGGGCCAGAATGTCTGACCCTGGCTGCCTCCTTCCCTATATGCAAGTGGCAGCCTCTGTTTGGCAGCATGTGGCCTGGCTGGGAAGCCTCCAGCAGCTTCCAGTCAGGCCCCAGTGCCTGCGCCCAGGCCCAGCTGTGCAGTTGAGGGCCTGGGCCCTTTACAGTTGGGCACGGCCAGTATTTCCTGACTTGGGCCGTTTGCTGCATTTGCACAGGACCCGGGGTATGTACGTCGACAATGCTGCTTTTTCGTAGGCCTGTAGCCAATTCGTGATGTATCTGCCTTACATTGTACGTGTGTGCCCAGGCGCAACTACCAAGGCCTGGGCCCAACTGTATGCCACAGCAGACCAAGGCGGATACGGGCCTTGCATTATGCGTGTGTGCCCAGGCACAACAACCAAGGCCTAGGCCCAACTGTACGTCGCAGCGGGGAGGGTACATCACCCGCTTCAACACGAGAAGTAGAAGCAACAGTCTGTGCTGCTGCTGCTGAAGTACCGCTTGGTGTGGTACCAGACTGAGGCGGATATGGACCTGTCATCACCGACAATGGCAGTGATGGAAAAACTGCTGGCCTGAAACCTGGCCTGTGCATGGCGTTCAAGATCTGGTCTAGGGTCTCCTGGATAGCGTCCAGTTTGATGTCCATGAATGCATGCATGGACAGGATGTTATGGGAGTCTTGAGAGGGCTCTGCTGGTCACGTCGTCCTGACTGCGACGTTAAAGAATTCTTGAGGAGTTATGGGAGATCTCCTTAAATGCCTCCTGATCAGCCAGCAAGTCCTGCAGTGACAGATTAGAGTAGTTAGGACAGAGCCGAGTAGTTGACAGTGTCAATTTGAAGCAAAAGCCAAGTAGGTTTCGGTGACAGTGGTGGCAAAAGCCAAGTGGGTTTCGGTGACTGTGGTGGCAAAAGCCAAGTGGGTTTCGGTGACAGTGGTGGCGAAAGCTTCCGTCGGTTGTGGAAAGTTTCGGTGACAATGATTGCGTAAGCATCCGTCGGCTGTGGTAACCTGGCTGAGCTGAAGAGAGACCTTTGTGGTCGTCGGGCGGGTAGGTCTACGTGTTGAGGAGTGGAATTGTCAATGATTGTGCCCTGTCAACAGGGTGACCACCCGGACCGGAACGAGCACTACCCCCTACAGTAAAGAACAGGAAGAGGAGGCCGACGCTATTCTTCATGAGAAGGAGAGGATGGAGAAGAGAGGGTTGATTAAGCAGGCAAAGAAGTTAGCGTTGTTGGAAGAGGATGCGGCCAAGGAGAGACAGATGGAGGAGGAGTTGGAGAAGTGGAAGGAGCATGAAGAGAAATTGGCCGTAGTCGAGGCCGAAGAAGAAGAAGAAGTGGAGGCCGAAGAAGAAGAGGTAGTAAGAAGAAGGGTCCAGTGGTCCTCCACCAGAGGAGGTGGAGACAAAGGTTAAAGAGTGGGTAGCTACATTATTGTTGGGGGTAGATAAAAAGGCAGAGTTGTTGGTACCCCAGGCGAAGAGGGAGGCAATGAGCAGAGAGCTGGAACAAGAGAGGGATCCTTTGCGGCAACAAGCAAGGGAACAAGAGAAGAAGCTAGAGTGGAAATTGTGCCTAGCTCAGGAAAAGAGAAGGCATTTGGAAGCAGCAGAAAGGATGGAGGGTGAGTTGAAGGCGGCAGAGACTCGAATGGGAAAGATCAGGGAAGAGACTGAAGTAGGCAAGAAAATTGACACCCTGACCCAAAGCATAGATTCCCTACCGACCGCCCAGAGAGAACAACTAAAGCATATTCGAGGCCATGATATTGCGCTAGAGTCCATAGGCTGGATTCAAAGAATTTGCCTAGGATATGATGACACAGTTAGTGGAGGAAATTCACAGCGCTATAGGGAACACAGAGAAATTCTGCACAGGCGCCATAGAATGCGCCAAACTGACGGCCTCTAAAGAGGAAGAACCTAGCCCCCGCCGCGAAAGGCCCAATTCCCTGAACCGTTCAGTGGGAAAAAGGGAGAGGATTTCGATAAGTGGGAGG